TACTGGCAGAATCAGTGGACAAACTTGAGTCTATTACTATGAACAAAATCTTTGTTGTAGGTTTGCCTGGATGGAAGGAAAACAAGAAGTATAACACTCAGCCCTTATTTCCCAACCCCACCACATAAAACCCAAACTGAAGCAGGCCAAACACCAGGTCCCCATTCACTTACGACTTGGTGTACTTGACTCCTGAGGCCTTCCGGTCCAGAATGCCGTAGCCTGTGTCAATCACTTCCTTGGTCTTCCCAGTTTCTTCAAAAGCTGACTTCAGCTCTACTGCAACATACTTGCACACTGGAGAAAGAAAACATGGGGAGCCCACTGAGTACACACAACTTCTGGAGGCCAGCACCCAGGAGCCTGGGCCAAACCAATATTCGCTCTGGAAATGAGGCCCAGACCACAAATGAAATTCATTACTGCACGCCCATTCCCAGCCTTTACCTATATACCTCAGCTCCCAACACCTTATAATAAATAAATAAATAAACAAACAAATAAATAAAGCACAATGGCTGATATTTCTAATCGGAACTATTTGGGCACCTGAGGAGGAGGATTGTAAATTTAAGACCAGCCTGGGTAACACAGGCAACAAGGAAAAAATTCAAAACATAGCCAGGCATGGTAGCACACACCTTTAATGCCAGTAATCAGGAAAAAGAGGCAGGAGGATTTCTGTGAGTTCAAGAACAGCCTTCAAATCACAATAAATTCCAGGACAGCCAGGGCTACACGGTAAGACTTATGTCTCAAAAGGTAAAAAATTAGTGGGGTTGGAGAGATGGCGCCATGGTTAAGACCACTTGCTGCTCTTGCAGAGAACCTGGGTTCCGTTTCCAGCACCCACATGGCAGCTCATAACTATCTTGTCACATGGAATTCTTGTTCCATGCACACTTTCCTCTGAGTTCTACAGACAATGTCCCCTACAGACACACCTTCCCCTACACACACATTGTCCCCTACAGACACACCTTCCCCTACACACACATTGTCCCCTACAGGCACACTGTCCTCTACAGGCACACTGTCCTCTACAGGCACACTGTCCCCTACAGGCACACTGTCCCCTGAGCTCTACAGGCACACTGTCCTCTACAGGCACACTGTCCTCTACAGACACACTGTCCCCTGAGCTCTACAGCACACTGTCCTCTACAGACACACTGTCCTCTACAGGCACACTGTCCCCTGAGCTCTACAGGCACACAGTCCTCTACAGGCACACTGTCCTCTGAGCTCTACAGCACACTGGTATCTGCCCCTGTTCACCCCTTCCGTTTCCCAACAAATAAATGTAAACAAAACTTTAAGATAAAATATTCATGCTCATCACGCTGAGAGAATAGAATGAAAAATTTTATTCCTCTCACATTCAACAGCTGTTAATGATCTGCCCTGCAGTATCTAATATTTAATAATCTATCTCAACAGTTATACATAATGAACAATTATACATCAGCACATACTTACTGTGAGCATGAACTTCTGTACAACCATGAAACAATTGGTACTTGGGAAATTAATGGAAATCTTCTTGATTTCATGTGTCCCCCAACCGCTTCTCTCCAACGGCAGAGTACTAGGCTCCAGAGAGGCCTATGCTTGTGTGCAGGTACTCTCTTATTCCTACCCTGCCCAAGCAACTGCTGTGTGCTGAGCACTGGGGACAGGGACAGGAGAACAAGGTTCCCCCTTTCTATGCTCACTATGAAAGAGCAGAGGGTGTTAACAATTAACCAGACAGCCACCACCCTCAGCGTCCACCACCTTCAGGGTGTGCCGCACCCCAGCCCTGGAAAGGGTTCAATGCCCTCTCGAGGCTCCTTTGACCCATTCTCCTGACACTCCATTAAGTCTGCTCCCCAGAGAAGTCCAGAACTAGTCTCCCGTGCTCCTGCCATCACCAGGCCTCTCAGGGAGCCGGCTATGATCCCTGTAAGACCCAGCTGAGACACACCGGGGTCTTTAAGGGCGGGCGTTGCTGATGGAGTTCAGTGGGATTTTCTGGATGGAATTTTGTTTGCAGGCTGTGTCACCTGCACTGTTTCATCAGTGAGAGTGGAGTCACACACACACATACACACACACACACACACACAAAAAAAAAAAAAAAAAAAGAGGAAGATGATGATGACACTACCCCCGAAGGCTTGTTTACTGTAATTTCCTGTAACAAGCACATTAATTGATGCTTGGAGAACTTGGAACACAAAAATCCCAATTATAAGTTGGTGATCTCAGCGTCTCCGGTGTACCAAGGTTCTCACCTCTCTGCCTCTGAATCTCCATCCTGGACCATCTGGGCTCCCTCCCCATCCTCCTCTGCACCTCCCTGCAAACTCATCGTTGTTATGGCTCCTTTGCCCGGTTCGCCCACAGCCTCGGCATGTGGTACTCCAGAAGCGGGGAAAATGAAGGTGTCAAACATCCTTTCTCTTATCCCATCAGGTACACCTGCTTTCCCAATCTTCCAAATGTCAGTTCTTCAAGACCACCCCAGGGGGGAAGAACCCTCTCAGAGCCGACCTGGGGGAGACTCATGGCACAGACCCCAGACCCTTGTGGACAGCCGCCCACTTTTTCTGGGCAGGTTCTCCTTCTTCTGTGCTGAGGCCTGTTCCACTCACTCAGACTACCAAGCCCGAAGGCAGGCTCTGTGAGCCAGGTAACAGTCAGCAATTAATAACAGAGATGCAACAATAATAAACACAAGTAAAACAGTATTAAGAGGAGCCTAAGGGCCAACGTTTGCCAAACCACTCCAAGCCTCAAAAATCCTTTGTAATTTACTCTTCACTGATCACGGAATGAGTTCAGGCTTGATGATTGCTAAGATCCTCGCCAACTCTATGCTTCTGAGTTTATAAGGGAAAATAAATGAGCTTGTGAATAAGAAAAAAGGAAGCAACCCCCAGGACTAGCGGGAAGCAGGCAAAAGCATCCTGGCAAAGGCAAGAACCCCCACTTTTTACCCCCCAAGACAGGGTTTCTCTGTGTAGCCCTGGCTGTCCTGGAACTCACTCAGTAGACCAGGCTGGCCTTGAACTCACAGATCTGGAGGTCCGCCTGTCTCTCTGCCTCCCAAGCTCTGGGATTAAAGGTGTGAGCCACCACAGCCTGGCCAGGCAAGACTCTTTAACAGGTACCCTTCCAGTGGGGTCTGAAGAGTCTCTAGAGAGTCTACTTAAAAACAAAAATTCTGCCAAATGCCTTTAATCCCAGCAGTCAGGAGACAGAGGCAAGAGGATCTCTATGAGTTTGAGGCCAGCCTGGTCTACAAAGAGAATTCCTGGACAGCCAAGGCTACACAGCTACACAGCTACCTTGCAAAACTAAAAAAACAAAAACAACAAAACCAACTCCTGTGTATATATAGACTCACCTAAAAACAAACCAAAAACATACTGTGTATTTATAGTGTGCGTGTGGATTACACGGAGGCCAGAGGCTTTCTAATACTGGTATTTGCCTTACTGTTTTTCAGACAAGGTTTCTCACTTGAATCTGAAGCGTGCTGGTCTGGCTAAACGGGCTGGCGAGCAAGTCTCCAGGGTCCGCCTGTGCATGTTGTGGGCAGAGGAACATTGCCGCACCTGGTTTTTCACATTTGTCCCGGGGATCTGAACTCAGGTTCTCGGGCACCTGTGCCAATCATTTTACCCACTGAACCATGTCCCCTGCCCCCATCCTCACTTCTAACCGCTCAAATGAAGGGATTATACACCTCAAACCAAGCGCCCCACTTCCCAGTGCTTAGGGAACATCTGGCCCGGGGCAGATCTGCCTTGGTGCAGGCTTTGAAAGAACATGAAGCGGATTTCCAGAATAATTGGGAGATGTGTGGAGCTAGGATGAAGAAAGGAAGGGGATGACTGTAAAAGTTTGCGAGGAAACCTGAAAAACGAAGCGCAGGAGACAAGGGAGGTCTCAGACCCCAAACAGCTCTCGAAGCGCCTGCCCCCACTCCAGACTCCAGGGTTCCCTGTCCTCCCAGTGTATAAAACCTTCCTCCTTCCTAATCTCTCCTGGGCTCTATGTTTCCCCAAAGTGACCTCTTGATCCTCTGAGCCTCCTCTCTCCACACAGATAAGCATACGTATTCCAAAATATTTTTTGTTTGTTTGTCAATAAATATTTGCAACCAAGTCCCTGTCCTCAAAAAGCAAAAACCATTCACACATCAGGTTGCAGTGAAGGCACATGGGACTATTTCAGGTTCCTTTTCTGAATCATATGGACCTTTTCAGTTCCTCAAACTCGCCCTTTGGCTTCTCGGTCTGCAGGGCCTCTTCATTTGCCTCAGTTTCTGTGGTTTAACGCGGAATGGGTTTTCTGTACTTTCCTTTTCCTGACCAACTCTTAATTTCGCAGCAGGCTTCCTATGAGAAGCCTTCCCTCCACCCCCACCTCCAGGCTAGACAAGCAGCTACGCCTCGGACGTCTAGCTTATCCGAGAGTGCCAGCACCAAGCAGTGCCAAGCACGCAGCAGGGTCAGGGAGACCCCGGAGCGAGACCCTGCCCCACAGGCCCCGCCCCATCCCGCCCCTCGGCCTGGGTACGCCCGCGGCCCCGCCCCCTCACCTTCGCATTTACTGGGCAATCGTACCCAGTCGGTCTCCTCCGCCCGGGCGCGGCCCGGGCCCAGCTTCGGGGCAGGCAGGAGCAGCAAGGACAGCAGCAGCAAGGGGAGCAGGAGGCAGCGGGGCGCGAGCTCAGACATGGACTCCATGGCCCAGCCGGACCCAGAGCGGAGCGGACCCGGCAGCGTTTCCTCCTGCAGCGCTCGCGGAGCAGCTTCCCCCGGCCGCTTCCGGGACTGCACACGTGCCTCCGTGTAACCACGGCAACAGCGAGCCCCGGCCCGCCCCCTCTCTCGCGACCGAGGCCCGCGGGCGACGCAGCCAGTGGGTTCGTTGGCGTTTGCTTTTTAGCGAATAGGAAAAACGACCTTTTTTTCCACCTCGGCCAATCAGAGAGTGGATGGTGGCTGTGGCGACCTATTGCGAGCTCCCCGCTTTCTAACGGAGGCTTGGAGAGGCTGGAGCATCCCATCCTCCAGAGTAGATGAACCGGGTTTGGCTCTGTAGGCCTGTATAACAAGGAGCGGAATATCTTTCATAGTTTTTTGGTTTTTTTTTTTTTTGGAGGGGGGTGTTGTTTGTTTTGCGAGACAGGGTTTCTCTGTTGCATATAGCCTTGGCTGCCCTGGAACTTCACTCTGTAGACCTGGCTGGCCTCAAATTCTTAGCTCCACCTGCCTCTGGCGTGCGCCTCCACACCGGGCCTCATGCTTTTCTACTTGAAGGTATAAAAAGTATTTTTAAAATCTATTTTGCGTTAGGGAACAACTAAAATCAGTTGCTTACTTCTATCATGTTGGGCGTGGGCATCAAACTCTTGCCCTTAGACTCGATGGGTACCACTTTTACCTGTTAAGGCAATTCGTCAACCCTCTTAATTCATGGTTTTCTTTGCAAACCTTCACTAAACACCCGCTCTTAAATGTTATTGCAGTCACTCTCTCTAACGCGTACTTAGGAACTCATAACAGCCCTGATACACACTAACCTTGTATTTGTCCGTAAGCAAACTAGAATTAGTGACTTCTTCGACCAGAATCTATTTGTTTGATGGCAGAGTGATCCTCCTGTTATCTTCCTCCTCCAGAGGTTAACGTTCTCACCACACAATCACAAATCCTCGGAGCCCACTAGCAGTTCCAGTGTCGTCTGGAGACAGGATCCCCAGAACTCGCTGACGAGCCTGACTAGTCATTATCTGTGAGCTCTAGATTTAGTTAAGAATTCAGAGTTCAACTGAGAGACCCTGTCTCATTATAGATAGTAGAATTGATTAAGAAAGAGCCTTAGGGCTGGGTAGGTAGCAGGATTGCTTTTAATCTAAGCACTCAGGGCTGGAGAGATGGCTCAGAGGTTAAGAGCACTGCCTGCTCTTCCAGAGATCTTGAGTTCGATTCCCAGCAATCACATTGTGGCTCACAGCCATCTGTGATGCGATATGGAGCCCACTTCTGCTGTGCAGGCACACATGCAGGCAGAATACTGTATACATAAGTTAATAAAATTTTTAAAAATCCCAGCACGCAGGAGGCAAAGGCAAGAGTATCTCTCTCTATGAGTTTGAGGCCAGCCTGGGCTATGCAGTAAGATTCTTTAAAAACAAAACAAAACAAAAATGTATATTGGTGTTTTGCCTACATGTGTGTCTGTGAAGATGCCAGATCCCCTGGAACCGTAGTTACAGACAGCTGTGAACTGCCATGTGGGTGCTGGGAATTGAACCTGCAGTCTTCTGGAAGAGCAACCAGTGCTCTTAACCTCTGAACCCTCTCTCCAGCACCCAAGACTCTATCTTGAAGAAGCAGAAGTGGAAGGAAAGAAAGAGAGAAAGAAAGAACGAAAGAAAGAAAGAAAAGAATAAAGAAAGAAAGAAAGAAAGAAAGAAAGAAAGAAAGAAAGAAAGAAAGAGAAAACAGAAAGGGAAAGGGAAAGAAAGAAAGACTCAAGGAATGAGGAGCTGGTCTCCCAGAAGCCCGTGCTGGGTACCCAACAGCCACATTAGGTGTCCCACAGCCATTTCTAACAGCTCTGCCCCTGGCATCCGTGGGCATGGGCAAACACACACACTCACACACTCACTCACACACACAGTACATGTGATTGGAAATAAAGCCTTCTCCTCTGTGGGAACCTTATTCTCTGTCCATGCAGGAACTCTCTTTAGGAACAAGGAAAAATCAACAAAACCAAACCTTTTTACTACCTGGCCCCAGCTGATGCTGAGTTAATATTTTTCAAATGAATAATGACCTTTAATTAATAGCGTGTAGGTTTGCAATTACCATCTTATGCGCTAGCACTGGATGTGATCCTGATGCCCGGGAATCCTGGCTCTGCACTCTTCCCTCAAGTCTGCACAAGCATTACCTCCCTGGCTCTCTGGCTCCACTTTGCCCTCTCAGAGAGGCTGAGCCAGGGTAAGGAAACGGAGAGATTGATAGTCGGGGAAGGAGAGTCCCAGCAACCCTTCCCCAGTCCCCAGACCCACCAGGCAATTGCTAGGTTCCCACTCTTCTTCCATGGAGCCTTCCCAGATCTCCGCTTCCTCTTTATCGGGCACACTATCTCTGGCAGGCGCACAAATGAATGGCTGTGCAGTGTGTTAGTGTCTCTAACCCTTCTGTATTGTGCCCGATCATACACACTGGGGCATACCCTCGCCTCCTTCCCTGTCTCACCAGAGAGACACAGTCCTTTTCCTCCCAAAGCCTCAGGCTGACAAGGGAGGCAGAGCCCAGTCCCAGATAATCTTGTTCACAGGAAGAGGCAGACCACATACAGGGGAAAAAATTCTGCAGCTTGAGAAAGGGGGGCGGGGGGGGGGACAGGAGCTGCGGGCAAAGCTGGCCTCCTCGCAGCCTGGGCTTTGTACCCCTGCCCCAGGTGGCAGAAGGGTCCAGCATCACCATCTTGGCCTCAGCAAAGAGCCTCAGAGGGTTGGATCAGATCAAACCTTCAAGTCTCCCATTACTACGTCCGGATTCGGTGGGTGGGAGGCAGGGACTTGAGTGGGCGTGGTGGCAGTAGGAGCTGGTCCGCCAGCACACAGAGGCGGCCGCAGGTCAGAAGCACGTCCAGCAGAAGCAGCTTGAAGAGAAGCAGTCGCAGAGCGCTCAGCCGCAGTACCTGACCCGGTGTCCCTGTGGAAGAAAGGGTGGGAGGAGTCCCCAGCAGCCCTAGACCTCCCAAAGGACAGGGAGGGCCTGTCCTCTGTTGGCCAGTCTCCATCTGTCTCCTCCTCCAAGGAGATTCCTTCCTAGTGTCTAACCTAAGTTTCTACTGGTAATGACACGTACCTCCTACTTTCCCCTCACTGGGTTTCATTTGCCAAGAGAAGCCAGCATTCAGGAAAGAGCATGTAATGCAAAGAGTAAATGGCTCAGAACATCTGGGCGAGAAACAGACTTTGGGATTACTAGCTCAGCGCTGCTCTCGCCACCTCAGGTAGTTAAACAATGCACAGGCTCTCAAACTGGGACCGCCTGCCACCCCCTACCCAAGAAGCCATCGGGCTCCACACATTGGCTCTGTGCAGCTCCCCTGGGGTCCAGGAATTAGGATAGGATCTGAAAACCCCACCTTATCCCAGGTTTGAAGCCCAGATGAGCCTTTGGCAAAGCAGTCCCTTAACTGGAAACTTCTCAGTCTCCCAACTGCAACTTCATGGGACACATGGTCAAATTAGAGTAGACTGCCACCCCCAGGTACCAGTCAGTCCTCAAACCGTTGTTCCCAGGCACCATCCCTTCCCCACCCACTGACAACTCACCCCTGAGAGGTTCCTGAAAGCAGGTCCTGCCTGTGGATGCTTCCGCTGTGAGCCAAGAAAAAGGAAGTGAGTACGATGTGGTGGGTGGCACCTCATAGTCCCAGACCTGTGACTGGCCCCGGCCAGCTTGCAGGGCAGAGGGACATATTGGCAAGCCCCAAGGAGTCAGCTCTCCTTCCCTCCCTGCCTGAGAGTTCTGTCCCCAAGAGGCCCCTCAGTCCCTTCCCCCAGGGAGCCCATTCTCTTCCAGCTTTTGCTGGAAGGCAGGGCATATTTTAGGGAAGCAGTCCTCTTTGGGAGGTGATAAAACCGAGGTGCTCAAATGGCTCGATGGACAGTGCTCGCAACACAAACACAGGACCCCAGTTCAATTCCTGTGCTAGAAAACAGACAAACAGAATAACCCAGGGCTGGGGAGACGGGGACGGGTAGACCCTTGGGGCTCACTAGCTAGCCAGCAAGGTCTGTGGGCTTAGGAGATGGGTTAGTTGGCAAAGTGCTTTCTTGAGTTGGAACCCAGCACCCTCGTTAAAAAGCTGAGAGCGCCAGGCAGTGGTGGCGCACACCTTTAATCCCAGCATTTGGGAGGCAGAGGCAGGTGGATCTCTGTGAGTTCAAGGCCAGCCTGGTCAATAAAGTGAGTTCCAGGACAGCTAGGGCTACACAAAGAAGTCCTGTCTCAAAAAAAACAAAACAAAAGAAATCCAAAAAGCAACAACAAACAAACAAAATAATAGTGCATATTGCTTTTCCGGAAGACCAGAGTTCGGTTCCCACCCTTGTTTGTCATGAGGCTGCGAACTGCCTGTCACTCCAGCTCCAGAGGAATCCAATTATTGTCAAGGACTCAGATGCACGTGCACACTTCAACACAATAATCTTTAAAAAATTTAAAACGAAGCACTTAGGACAGTGCTTGGCATAATAGACTTGGTAAGGGATAAGGGTTTGCTTATTTATTTATTTATTTTCATGACAGGGTTTCTCTGTATAGCCCTGCCTGTCCTAGAACACACTCTGTAGGGCTGGAGAGATGGCTCAGTGGTTAAGAGTGCCGTCTGCTCTTCTAAAGGTCCTGAGTTCAATTCCCAGCAACCACATGGTGGCTCCAAACCATCTCTAATGAGATCTGGCGCCCTCCTCTGGCGTTTGGGTATATATGGAGGCAGAAAGTTG